CAGAAACAGACGAACTAGGTTTAATTAGGTTTAAGTACGTTTTCTTATCTTTCGCTGCTTCAATCCTTGGTTTCCGCAGGCTCAGGCATATTATTGTTTTAGATGGAACCCATTTGACCGGGAAATTTAAGGGAGTCTTGTTAACGGCATGTGGACAGGATGCTAACTTCCAAGTGTATCCACTGGCTTTTGGAATTATGGATTCCGAAAACGACGATTCGTGGAAATGGTTCTTAACAAAATTGGAACGCATATTGGCTGACAGTTCAAACCTTTCTATAATTTCAGACCGGCATAGGTCGATCCTAATGGCGGTTAAACATGTATATCCCCGAGCACATCATGGCGCATGTATTGTTCATTTGCAAAGGAATGTTACGTCAAGGTTCAAGAACAAGGGTCTATCTAAACTGGTTGGTATGACTGCTTTTGCTTACAGGGTCAAAGGATTTCGTGCTATTTTTGTGCAAATCAATTCTAATGCAGCCTGTGCTAAATACCTCCACGACATCGGTATTGCCACATGGGCAAGAGTTCATTTTAAAGGAGATAGATATAACCTAATGACAAGCAACGTTTGTGAGCAGCTTAACAAATCTTTGCGCGAAGGAAGAAGCTCCCCCCATTTTGGAACTCTTGCAGTTCATTCAATCCATGATGACGCATTGGTTCAGTGCTCGCCGTAAAAAATCCCAACGCCATAAAGGCATTATTACTCCAGAAGTGGATAAAGAAATAACCTTGAATCTCAAAAAGGCGAAGGGCAGCAAAATCAACACCATTTCTAGCTGGAATTTGGAAATAATAGGCCAGTTCGGGGAAAAAAACAGTGTTTTACTCAAAGACCACAAATGCACCTGCATGATGTATGAAAGATTGAAGATTCCTTGTGGCGACGCCCTAATGGCTGCTGACTGTGTCGGGCTCCCCTATGGATCTCTTGTGGCTGATTGTTTCAAAACAAAGGCATGGTGTGACACTTATCAAGCTATAATATCGCCTGAAGGAGACCCCAAGGATGTCGACATACCTGACAAGGTTAGCTCTTTAGTTTTGCTACCACCAAAAACACGACGGCCATCCGGTCGTCCAAAACAGGCGCGTTATACTTCTACAGGAGAAATTCGTGTAAGCATATCCCTATCTTTTTCATCTTTTTAAAATCAAAACCCTTATTCATTCATCTTCACATCTTTTCAGGGTCCTCGTGTCAAAAAAACAATACCAAACAAATGTGGCCAATGTGGACTTCCTGGTCACAACAGGAAAAAATGCAACAACCCCATCTAACTTTAGTTGTCTAACATGCTACCATTTCACATCTTTTGTAATGCTCCACTTATATTTCTTTTTGGGTGTCGAGCTAACTTCAATCGGTTTCTCGGATGTTCTAGCATTTTTGCGGTTATCTTCCTAAAACAATCTAATGGTAATATGCATGTTTTTGATTGTTATTTTACACTTCCTTCAATTCTTAATTCATATTGACCACAACGCCGTCATCAGAACCTACACATCATTCGTGTATACACAGCCTTTCATTGTTGGTGGATACCCAAGATTACGCCATCCACATGCATTACAAAATACATACGTTCTTCTAATAACTATCCACTTCTACGTCATGGATAATCACTTCGATGGACACGCCTAAAAAAGCACCAGTGGACGAGGATTCATCCGCCACTGTAATCACAATTGTCATCTCCTAGTCACATGTCGAGGGATAACATTTTCTTTACATTTGCAGCTACTAATGCTGACTACAATGAACATACAAAAACCGGTATCACAATCTGGAATAAGTATAAAGATCATAATTCTAGAACAAATACAAGTTATTTTCTTCAAACTACAACAAAGTGTTTACATAATACCAAATCACAGCCACAAATTACAACCTATCCAATTAGCTTACTACAAACTACAATAAAAATACATCCCATAATTGTGCGCATCATCACTCTCCTCATCTCTGTTTTCGCTTCGACCACCAATTTATCCATTCTTTCACAAATTACTTTCTCCATCTTCATTCCAAGTTGATCCACAATCTCATCAGCGTTTTCCTTTGACCCTCTTGTTATCTTACCCACCTCTTGTTCAGTAACTTCATTTCTAGCCGCCAAAGCCTCACACTCATTCAGCCTCATCAATCCACTTGAAAGTGTGATTATCATTCATTAACTACAAAATATGGCAAAACAATTTTTAAACAATATAGTAGGAAATTCAAATTTATATCTGAGGGCAAACATAACCCCAACAACATACCTTTTGTTCAACTGCAAACACACACCGGAAATACCTACTGTTCGGATTCATTTCCGATTTAGACATCTTCGCCACAATCGCTTGCCCACACCAACATTTCCTAGGAATGCCCACAATACCTCCTCTCTCACGACCCAACGTTGTCCCACTAGAACCAACAGATGTATTGCTCATTTAAAAAAAGTATTCGGTCCCAACTAAATAAAAGCCATCTACCACCTTACGCCGCCAAATATTAGGGTTCCTTAAAAAAACTGCGAAGTAGGCGTCTCGCTTTTATAGGCACACCAGATCTCTTAAAAAATACTGTAGACGCGGACACTCGAAGTGGTCCCTTATCGAATGGATACATAACATATTGGTGGATCCTATTTAATGGATGCACCTTACGTTTCCAACATATATTACCAGTACAGTTTGGTCATCTACATGTGGATATACTCGTTATAGGTGGATCCTATTTCATGGATGCACCTTACCTTTTCAACATATATAACCAGTACAGAATGGTCATCTTTATGTGGATACACTCGTTATATGTCCATTACTCGTCATTGTCCATCCGCAGCTGTCCACGAAAAGAATGACAAACACCTATGACCACACCAAAAGATATCTTGCACTCTGACTATTGGCGAGTAGTGGACAACTAAAACGGGGTGGATACATCCAAATACATAATACATTTAAAGGCACTTTTAACAACTTTTAACATTTAATGGATGCTCCTTACTTTTCCAACATATATTACCAGTAGAGTTTGGTCATCTACATGTGGATATAGTCGTTATAGGTGGATCCTATTTCATGGATGCACCTTACCTTGCCAACATATATAACCAGTACAGAATTGTCATCTATATGTGGATACACTCGTTATAGGTCTAATATATATTACCAGTAGAGTTTGTTCATCTACATGTGGACATACTCGACATAGGTGGATCCTATTTCATGGATGCACTTAACCTTTCCAACATATATAAACAGTATAGAGTAGTCATCTATATGTGGATACACTCGTTATATGTCCACTACTCGTCATTGTCCATCCGCAGCTATCCACGAAAAGAATGACAAACACCTATGACCACACCAAAAGATATCTTGCACTCTGACTATTGAGAGTTGTGGACAACTAAAATGGGGTGGATACATCCAAATACATAATACATCTGGGATTACTAGTTACCAGGGTTCAAAACAACATACATCCAAATGATGTATAAGCCTTTATCAAAGAAGTGGAAAAAGTGTATCTTTCAACATCAAAGAAGTGCCTTTGATAAAAAAGTGCCTCACAGTTGTCCACAACTCTGCATATTGAGAGTTGTGGACAACTAAAACGGCGTGGATACAGCCCGATACATAATTCCACTGGAATTACTAGTTACCAGTGTTCAAAACAACATACAAGGTCACTCCGACACAACACTACAAACGAAATTACATATATTACTCCAATCAGATATTCTTAGTATGGAGGAGAACCGAAACAGCAACTACAACTACCAGACAGGCCATCAGGAACATAAAAAAAACCAAACGGTCCTCCTTTACAGACCCGCGATTGTTGTGACTTTCCTTCAGTTCTGAAATGCTGGCCTTCAGAACTTGGTAGTCATGACCGCCAACACGCTTCAACTCCAACAATTCAGTAACCTGTCCACGCAGTGACTCCAAATCTTTCCACATAGTAGGAGGGTCAACGTATGTGCCATTACCGTCCGAACAGTAGTACTTCACTGACTTCGACACTTCGTTAAACTCGGCTTTAAGATGCCGGATTTCCTCAACTATTGCACCATCCCACCATTTACGAATACCACATCCTCCTTCCTAAGTCCATCTTTTACAATTACAAATCCATTACTAGACAATATCATATGAACGAACTTTAGGCTTACCTCTCTACGCCGGCAGCTATAGAACTTACTCCCTTCCTGACCTTCCGAGTATGACGTCTCCACCCGAACAGGCTCCCCACAGTAGCAAAGATCCGGAATACCAAACCGAAAATCTTCAAACCCCTGCAAGCTTGCCATTTCGGATGAACTCCAACTATAACTATAGCTCATCGACCTCTTATCAAACTCTCGCTCCGCCGACTTCTTTCTTCTATTACCTAAACACCTTTCCACTTACAAAGACATCCCATTCAGAGGAAAAACCTAATACGGCTTTGCTTCCTCATGGGTCCCATATTTCGTTTTCCCTTAACGCCTTCAGGAATCCAACACTACAAACTACACTAATCTTAATATTAATGGATGCCAAGCAGAAAACGAAGTTATCATCAACGTTCGTGGACATCATCCGACTATAACGTCACCAGCACGTTACCTTTATTGGTATACTAAAAGCAGAAAACATAAGATTTAATTGTACGTGGACATCATCAAGTTTCGTGGACATTATCAAGGTTTCAATAAAACACAAAATAGTTACTTCTAATATATTTCCCTCACGTCAAAGTTTAAAAACTACAAACAAATAATTTAATATCCGGATACACATAACCAACTAACAAATTACATCCAACTACATCTGCCGATAATAAAAACAAACAATACAATACCCACAATCCATCATACGCATTTTGCTCCTTCCATTCTGAACTCGCTCACCTTTCTCACACTCTTACCTGCATGTAAAAACGAAAATCTACTTGATATATACATCACAACGAATACACAAACAAGTACATCATTCTTATAATTCACTGTTTACCTCGATAAACGTGGACGGCTTATTGACGCCCGGACCAACGGTGGATGTAGTTGAGTGGATGCATCGCTATACCCGTGTACATGTTCTGCGACTGTGTGGATGACCCCTTCGTAAGTTTGTCTCCACATTGAGGTCTTGTAGCATTGCCCAACCAACTCTTCTACATCAACACCCCATTTCGGCGCACCCACCAAAGCATGTCCACAAGGTATTTTCAACTTATCATACTCACCACATTGACATTTCCGGTGGCCCAACATGGCAATATGCTTCTCTCCACACAGCCCAGCCACCTCTACATTTTTAGGCACCAGTTCCCTCAAACTAGCGACCCTAATTGCCTCCAGATTCCTAGCCATTTCACGTAACACCGCAGGCGTTACACCCCCCCCCCCATGTTGACACGCGTACTGATGACGGTCACCAAACCATTCACTCATGGTGGACACTATCCTTCTCACAGTTTCAAGAATTGGAGTATCTTTCCACACCATTAAAGTCGCATTAATAGGGTCTACCATTTTTGTTGTCATGAGGTTGTTTCGATCACCAACAAAATTCGCTTTAGACCACTTCTCTTTTCCAAGCCTTTCCAGGAAATTCCAACACTCTAAGTTTCTATCCTTTATTTCTAACATCCCATTTCTGTAAGCTACTTTGCGATACGCATACGCTGCCTTTTCTACCACTCCTGTAAGAATCCTATTTTTGTATCTTCCTTTCACCACATTCTCAACCATTTGCTAGCAAAAAACCTGCAAAGCTAATGGGAATGTCAGCTTTTTCGCTTTCATAATCGCACGGCTAAGATCCGTGACAGAACACACATTCGGCGAGTCTTCAAGGATACTCTTAACTTCCACCATGAACCAATTCCAAGCTCTCTCATTTTGCCCGTCCACAATAGCGAATGCTACTGGATATGCTTGCAAGTTAGCATCTTAACCGGCTACAGTTAACAGACTACCTTTATACATTCCTCCCAAACGAGCCCCAGCCAACACATAGCACTTTCTAACACAGCCTAACCCCAATCTACTAGCTCCAAAACACAGAAACAAATACTTAAAACGCACCAAACCAGATTCATCAGTGTAAGTATCTATCTCTGCCAATGTACCTGGATTCGCGGCCTTCAGTTGCTGTACATACTCTGAAAGTTCAGGGTAAGTCACATCCGCTGGTTCCCTCATTCCTCTAACCCTCCTGTTCATTTTCTTTTGTTTTTGTTTTTCACTACACAAATAACAACTCAACCTTTCTTTATATATAGGGCCTCTCCTGGTTGTTGCCCTAAGAACTGCTCCCTCTAAATAAACTTCTATGAAAACAAAAACAAAATTAACTCTCATTGTCCACTCTTGCTGTCCATACGTACACTACTTCAACATGTCCATGTGATAATCTTTATTAGTTAAAACAAACATCAAACGACCTAAACACTTTTTCCCACTCTGTAAAATAATTTCCCCTGATAAATAGTTTTCATATCCACATATTTCTTCTCACAGCTATCCACGTCCTAGCTCGTTATGACATACTCTTATCAGCTTTCAAGTTACAAGGAAATCATGCAATATACCATGCTTACCGCATCCAATAATAACATAAACAACAGCTAACTTCATTCATAAAACATGTTCAAACATAAAAACCACTGTTAAGGTGCCTACAAGTACAAACATTAAGTTCACAAAACTACATCTCTGAATACAAAGGAACAATAAGCTCCTTGTACAGATCCATAGCATACTCACGCCTTACAGCATCCACTTTCCCATCCGTTAGCATTCCTCTATCGGGACCTCCATTAGCATAATTTCAATAAACTTCAATGTCACAGGAATTATAATTGGAGAATTTTGTATATACAACAATCTTATAGTATGTATATGTCTCTTAAACCTCCAGGATTCGGGAGAGGTGGAGCACATTTTAGACACAAGACGGAAATATAACTTATAACAATACTTAATAGAGTAGTGTTCTATTAATTTCTTTTTATAAGTATTTATATAACTTAAAACTTGTGTGTTGGATCTTATTACATGATTTATTTTAGTATTTGTATGATTTATTTCTTTGTATAAGTATTTATATAACTTAAAACTTGTGTGTTGGATCTTAATATACCATTTTTTGTCTCAATTATTGAAAATAAAAATGTGATGTTTATGTTACAAGAATTTCAATAATCAAATTATAATAAGATTTATATAATGATTGTGTCCGCGTGCCACGGGCAGATACCTAGTAAAACATAAACAAGAAAGAAGTTAAAGAAAGGAGAAAAAGGGAATAACAAGATCAATGTACATACATCAAATTGATTCTTCTTTGGAAATTAGAGTTAGATTCTTTTTGGCAACACGTTTTAGGGTTAAAATTGTAGGGTATAGTAATCGAAAAAAATAGGCCATATATTCGATTCGAGAGATGTCATATGTATGATTGTTCTTACTCATGCTCGGGCACAAACTTAATAGCAGACATTTCCAAAACTTTGGATGAATGATGAATTTCAAAAACAAGTCAAACATCCAGAATTTACCTGCTCCTATTTGAGGGAGAGTATTTGAAATTTCCTAAAATCATATTCCATATGTTTAGGAGTTAAGGCACAAAATTTTGTATTTCTCGTGAGATTAGGAAATTAGATACTCTGGCTTGTATTGTATTATAAAGGTTGTAACACCAATTATCTCAATAACATATCAATATCAAAAACTCTTCTTCAACGTTTTCTTCTCTCTCAAATTGTTTAAGCTAGTTGGATCCAAAAGTTGGAAAATTATATTCTGTATTTTTCTACATTATCTATCTATGACGTAGACAAAAAAAAATCTTTTAAAACAAATATAAACAAAACAAAAACAACAAAGTTATAAACAAACAAAACGGGTGGATGAATGTAGTCATATTCGGCAATGAAGAGACTAAAGAGTGGTGGGTTTTAACAAAGCACATCACATGGGCTGTCCACAACTAAAACAGACAACAACGTTTGTCTTCTCTTCCTCCAAATACACCATATTGCTCTTTTTCACCTTATCATATTAATTTCCAATTTTGGGTTTACAATGTTGGATTAAAAAAAATTGCCTTGTGGAGAAGAAGAGGCCACAGTAGCCGACAATTGTTTGCAAACCTTACACAAACTGTTTGTTAATATTTTAATGGATGTTTGACTAAACTAATGATAAGAGAATATACTTTCTACAGCAAAGGAAAAGAAATTTATATTATAGAATATGCTTTTTTTATAGCCCTAACTATATGGCTAAGCCATGTGTTCTTTCTTAAAATATTGATTATTGAATTGACTTTACTAGTGAACAACCAACAAAAGTGACAGGTTTATATGTTCATTTGGTTACTCATGCATAAACAATATATCTGATTATTTTTTACTATAATCTTCATAAACTAAAAGCAAATTCTAAAAGTGAGATAGGACTTAAAACAACTCAAATATTCATTATCATTATTCTGAAATAGCATGACAAAGATGACCAAATGGATAATGAGACTATTATACATGAAATGAGTTAATCGATTTCAAACAAAGACCAAAAAAAATATAGATAGCTTCATCATCATCATCAACAATAATGAGTGTTGGTGCCAATAGAATACAAACCCCAAGTTAAGTAACAGAGAGTTTCCAAAGTTATTAATAAAGAATTGTTACAGAGAAGAGATTATATTCAGAAATCAGAACCATATTGGTACATCTTGCGGCTGCTTCCCCATTCCTTCCATCACTCCTGCTTGCCAATCATCTCTGTAATCAAATGATGCCATATCAAACGGTGTCGAATCAAACACCATTTGAAACCCATTGTTATCAAGCTTAATCCCACTGTTCCCTTGTTGCATAAACATCTGATTCCGGTTGAGACTCAGCTGCTGTTCTTGATGATTCTGAGCTGCTTTTGCATCAATGCTCATGCTTTGATTTGGTTGGAGATTTCTGTCGTACATGGCCATTAGCTCGGTGATCATCTTCTGCCCGTTTTCCGGGACTCCATAGCCTGATAGGTCGATCGGTTGGACTGACTGAGGAAAGGGTTGCGACTGTTGTGACACAGCTACTGGTTTCACTTCACCTATATGATGAAACTTCGAAGCTGCTCCATAAGCTAAGCGATTGTCTCTGTATGAACAAACCATTTGGTGATTGTCCCTAGAGCTCCTGTCCTGAAATCCCATATTGATTTTGCTGTGAGGACACTGACCATTCTCACAAGTGAAACTTGGTCTGTCCATTATCATAACATTCAGATCGTTGTTCGGCTTCCTCTTTCTCGCGTATTCCAAGTTTCCCATGGTGGCCACGACTTCCTCCTTTACAGGAAACTGTTGCTGCATTTTACCAGTTCCAAAGCTTGTTGCAGGATTCATCATCACTATCTCTGGTTTTCGCTCTTCCACGTCTTGTTCCTTCTCAAAACCTTCAACATCATACTCGCTACAATCATTGATGAGAAGAGACCCACTTCCCACGGAGGAAGAAGAAAGAGGAGGACATAACTCGGGATAAAGCTCCCGAGCCACAACCTCTTCTTGGTTAATAATGGCAAGCCAAGTAGCACTCTCTTTGGCAGTCATCTTGTCTTGCAAGCATTTCGATTGCCTCACAAGCTTACGGATTTTCGCAATATCAGGCGACATATGCTTGATAACTGCAGTCAAAACACCGACTTTCCAAGCTTTCTTCAAATCATGAGGCTTCTTGTAAGGAGGAGGACCTTGTTCTTTTGGTAAACCAAGTTGAGGCCACCACTCTTCTTTCCCATTAGGCCACCACGGTGGAGAAACACCTTTCTCTAAAGGAAACCGCCTCTGAGGAGGATCACAATGTTGCATCAAAGCCGATAAAAGAGATCCAAGAGTCGTGTCTTGAAGCTCCTGAAGTGTATGTGGTGTTGGTCCAGCCAAACTATTACAATCATTACTCCCTCCTGAAATATTGTTCTCTGCTTGGTATTTGGCAATAGCCGCTGGACCGTTACGATCAAACCTGACCTTATCTTTCCACCATTCCCGTAGATTATCGGAAGCACCAGTCACAGGTTTGCCTTTCTCAGGGATGATACCGTAAACAAAGCCTTGAGCTTTACAAACTTCCATCATCTTCAACATGTATTTCAAGATCCCATCTTGTGCTCTAGACATTTTCTTCCTCCTAGCTTGCTCTTGTGACTGTCTCTGCTTCGAAGCATCGACTCCTTCCTTACACTTCCCTTGCTGCTCCTTGAGACGTTTCAGACGCATTTTGTCTCTCCACATCCTTCTCTCAAGCTCATCAACATCGATCTCGTCATCGGTGTAGTCTTCTTCAACCACTGGATGATCTTGTTCAGCTTGTGGCAATGGACACACATCGATTTCTCCCAGTGATGTGGAAGAGAAGAAATCCATTTTTCCATACATACCCATCTCGTTAAACATCATCATCTCTCTCTCACCAGAACCAATCCAATTCTGTTACCTGAAAAAAAAAGTTTACACGAAAGAAAATAAATTATTGAGCTTTCTTTGATCCTCCTACTAAAAACAAGGGATTTTTTCATAGTCAATGAAGTACATCAGGTCGTATAAGATTTAGCGTTCTAAACTTTTATGAGTTTAATAAAGAGAAGCCATAATTAGTTGCAGAATTAGATTCGTCCTGATTCATTGACCTAAGAATTGGAGGCTGAATAATAAAAAAAATAATAAAAAAAAGTAATTGATTTGAAAAGAAGAAGTAACCTAGAATTTTATAAAAAAATCATCAAATTAAACTCAGAGACTAAAACTAATATTGTCATCTCTAAACCCAGATCGGAAAATGAGTTAGCATAGACAATAAACCAACGATCTGAAAAAAGATAAGATTATCAAAGCACCATCGTCAAACATAAATATTAAATAGGAACAATAAGAGAAGCAAAAAGACCAAGAGTTTGCCTGAAAGGGTTGGAAAAGAAGAACACCAAAAGTGGTCTCTGTACTCTCCTGTTTCCAGAAAGATTAAAAACCAAGATAAGCAGGTCGAAGCCTCAAATTTGAAAGATGAAAAAAGAAGAAGAAAAGTCAATTCAAGATCACATGGGGAGAAAGAGACGTTTATTACTGTGTTTTCTGGGTTTGTACTTTGTAAGAGAAGGTAGATAAGAGAGAGAAAGGAAGATGCTTTGGTGGTGGGGATTTAAAGATAAAAGTTGCACCGTTTCAGTTTTATTTCTCCAAAAAATAAATATGATAAATAAATAAATAAAAGAGTATTGATTGAAAAATTTAAGATCAGAGTCGGTCCGGTCTACCACAACAAGACGGTCAATTACGCTTTAGCTATAGGAAACAAGGGTGATATAATATACCGACTCAGGTATTGATAAAAACTGAGATTTTTAATTTCTAAAAATTTTAAAATTTTAGAAAATTTTATCATATTTCATTAGCCCATATCTCTAAAATTTGTTGTCCCATTTGTTTCTCATTTTTTATCTTATAATATTAAAAAAGAAATATATTTAAATTATTGACTTTGGTGTTACGTTGTATATTATGAAATATACCATTAATAAAATATGTATTCTACGAAAAAAAACTAAAACTAAAGAGGATATGCGTCCTTTTAAAATGACCTATTTAAAAGGAAGCAAATCCTAAAATTTGACCCGTTTTGTATTTTAGGAAATAAATGATTTTTTAACATGTAATTTTTTTTGAAATATTTAGCTTCTAATAATCAGGAGAAATGAAATAGATATCGCAGTAAATATGATTACATATTAATTAAAGCGCATGAGAGAATCTTGAAAAAATATAAGAAAAAATTGCGTATAGATAGTCAAAATATAAGAAAAAATCTTCAAATCATTTTTTCGCGTACCTGAATATTAACACAATATTAACAACTTCCAAAAATTGCGTATTTGCCTATTTGCCATAATATTGTATTTAATTTAATTTGAATAATTATACTTCGCCGCCAATGTATTTTACCTCTTAACGGGATTGAACAAAATCCTCAAATTTTATTGTGAGCTATTGCTAAATGTCAATTGATGAGAATATGCTATTAGTTTGTTATTGAATATTATTCCATTTATTTCGCATCACCGTATAGATAGTCAATAACAACTACGTTACAAAAAAATTTGATTAGGTATTTCCAATCAATATTATGTTCAATTTGAATTGAAAAAAATATACTTGGCCGCCAATTTACATACAGCTCAACGGTATTGCGAAAATCCTATATTGTTTCACTATAAATACGACACTACCATATTCCATTTTATTCCACATCAACTACAACTTTCTTAACTTTTAGTTCACTTCAATTATTTACAATGGCTTCCAACATGAGGTTAACACCTTTGGCTGACTTAAAGCCATTCAAGACTGGATGGAAGGTGCATGTGAAGGTGCTTCACACTTGGAAGCAATACCAGACTAAAAGTGGAGAGTCTTTGGAAATCATTCTCGCAGAAGAAATGGTATGATCAAGTAGATGTAAAAGGACACTTCTTGGGTTCACCCCCTCTCATTTTAGCCAATGAGAATCTGCCATATAATAAAATCAACTAAAGTAACTTACCAAAATAGCACATTTTAAATATTTTTTTTTAAATAAGAAAAAATTAAAGCCTAATTTGGAAATAGTGAACCCAAACATAATATTAAAATTTATGTAGAATTATTTTTAATAAAAATATATTTTTAGATAATTATTTATTTTAGTTTCAAAATTTAAAAAAAAAACTAAACCCTAAATTGGAAATAGTGAACCCAAATATAATATTAAATTATTTTTAATGGAAAAAACTAAATCCTAATTTCGAAATAGTGAACCCAAACATAATATTGAAGTTTATGTAGAATTAGTTTTAATAAAAATATATTTTTACATAATTATTTGTTTTATTTTTGGAATTTTAAATAAAGAAAAACTAAAACCTAAATTGGAAATAGTGAACCCAAGCATAATATTAAATTTTATTTATATTTATTTTTAATATATATATATATTATAATTATTTGTTTTATTTTTGGAATTTTAAACCCTAATCTTTAAATTCTAATTTTTAAATCCTAAATTCTAACTTTTATACTCTAAATCATGATCTATAAACCTTAAAAAAAAATTAAAATAAAACTAAAATCTAAATTCTAATCTTTATATACATTATTTATTATATATGTATATATATATTTTACCAAAATATTTGATTGAGTATTTAATCTTTTAATTTTAATTTTTTTATTTTTCTTTAAAGATAATATTAAATGGCAGATTTTAATTGGCTTAAATGAAAGGGGGTGAATGAATGAATTCACCCCTAGGGGTGTACCCAAGAATTTTCCGATGTAAAATTACATTTTCGTTTTACTAACTATTAATAGTTTACTTATAAACATTTTTTTTATTTACAGGGTACCAAAATTCACGCTACTGTCAAGAAAAACATGTTGCATCATTTTGAGCGGATGATGGTTGTCGGTGAATGGAAGTTCATCGAGAACTTTGCATTGAACCAGGCGTCAGGTCAATACCGGGCCACAAAGCATCAATTCAAGATGTCTTTCATTGCATCCACCGTTGTCAGCAAAAGTGCTAATCGATCTGACAGTCAGTTTTTTGAGTTCTTAGATTTTGGTACAATCTTGAACGATGCAACCAGTACAAGTTTTTTGATTGGTGAGTTTCCCACTTATCTATATAGTTAGTTTATTACATTTATATATGTATTCATCTAACATCATTTTTCAAAATACCAGATGTTATTGGACGAGTTGAAAGTCAAGATGTCTTTCATTGCATCCACCGTTGTCAGCAAAAGTGTGAATCGATCTGACAGTCAGTTTTTTGAGTTCTTAGATTTTGGTACAATCTTGAACGATGCAACCAGTACAAGTTTTTTGATTGGTGAGTTTCCCACTTATCTATATAGTTATTTTATTACATTTATATACGTATTCATCTAACGTCATTTTTCAAAATACCAGATGTTATTGGACGAGTTGAAAGTGTACGTGAACTGGAAACAATCCCGGTTATGAACTAGGACACCAGCAAGCTTGAATTCGACTTGTGTAATGTGAAGTGAGTATATACGGTTAATGCTTTTTATCTTTTTAAATATTTACTCTAATATAATTAAACTGTATTATATATAGAGAGGAACGCTTACTATGCACACTTTAGGGTAAATTTGGCAAGCAAGTCTATTCGGTTTGTCAGAATGCTGGTGAACGTGGTGTCATCATTGTAATCCGTTTTGGGAAAATCAATGTGTTTAAAATTAAAAATTACAAAATTGTTATTTCAATATAAATTAAAATGCATATTGATTATTTGTTTAAATTATCATAGGTGAACGTCAAATTACCAGTTCTTTCCAAACCTCTAAGGTGCTCATAGATCTTAACGATTCATATGTCATTGACTTCAAAAATAGGTAAACAATTTATTTATATATCACACAAATATTTTGACAATGTGATTATTAATAAGAATTGATTTCCAATTTGAAGTTTACTTGCAAATGGTGGAAATAGTACTTTCTTGAGTAGCAAGCCACATCAGAGGATTTCTTATGATGATGAGAGTAATTTTGATCAGCTTTCAATGGTGACTATTGCTGAACTGCAAGATTATCTGGAGGTATATATAAAAGTTGTCATAACTTTATTATATGTTGATAAGATGATATGTCTTTGAAAAATGATTTTTTAGTATAAAACTAATAGTATAAAATACTTCAAGCATATAAAATCTTATATATGGTATCGATTAAATTAAAGATATAACTAAAACCTTAACTTTTATATGTTAATTTATCAATAGAGTTTATGCAATTATGGTGACTGTTCTATTGTTAAATATTCAGATTGGAAAATGTAAAATCATGTGTACTGTATATGCGGTTGATACAGATTGGTCATGGTTTTACTTGGTTTGCACTAAGTGTGGGAAAAACATGAAGACAATTTTTTTTTTTTTTATAAAACTAAGAAGCTTTATTCATGTAAAACATGTGATGCCAAAGTTTCATCTGTCAGTGCGAGGTAAATAAATTTTATAAATTACTAAATAACAAATTATGTGCCAAAAACATATAATCACATGTTTATATTTAAATTATATTGTAGACACAAACGCCATTTTTGTGTAATGAACAACACCAACAAGATCAAATAATTTCTTTTTAATTCAAATGCAAATGATATTGTTAACTAATCTGCAGATAAAATTTTAAAAGGGACATACGCTGAGGTATTATACACTTTATGTATTTTATTTCAATAATTTTTATATTAAAAAATCATTTTCCAAATACTTAGTATTTTTTAACATAGATACAAGATCCAAATGTCGTTCCTGATGCATTGCAAAACTTGGTTGGGAAGAATTTTCAGTTTCTAATTTGTGTTGAGAAAAAAAGTCTCTATGATGGTAGTAATACATATAAAGTCGGAAAGGTTTGGAAAGACAATCAGGTTTTTACTACCACCGTTGATGAGGTGAATGAATCTGAAGATGGGGGTGATCACAGTTTACTCATGTCTGGTAATCAGGTAAAATTTATATCATGTGAATGGACTTTTTATATTTTTGAGACAATTCTATATCTTGAAATTTTTTTTTATTTATAGGCATCACTGATGAACACACATAGCCAAGAGTCTTCGGATGATGTTACAGCTAATATCAAAACTCTTTTATCAAAGCGTGAGCGAGATGATCCTAAAGATTCAGTCGACTCATCCTCGTCGTCTAAGAAGTCATGTAATAGTTTGAGTAGTGTGGAAACGACATATGCGAATGAAGTGATTGATGAGGATACACTGAAGAGTGATAGTGTTTTAGTGAACACTCTTCTTACAAGTGAATACAATGAAAGTATTGCAAAGGGATGAACTCGAGGACGTGGTGGTGGTAAAGCTGTTGGCGAAGAAGGAGGCAAAAATGGGAAGATGTGATCTCATATATTCTACAGTTTATGAATTTGTTATTATTTAATATTTTATTGAATAACTTTCTGTTTTCCATTATTTGGTTTTAATATTTTGAGCATTCGGATATTTGTTCTTTTATGCTTAGTTTATTTGTTTCTATAAGTTGAAATAGTAATAAAATATTATTGGATTTGGCATAATATGTTCGTTAGTCACATATTATACCTTTTTAATCCATCTGCATCAACTACAATAAGTAGAAAATATTAGTAGTTGAAATCAACACTTATATTATTAATCAAATTGTTTATCTACATACAAATTACTATTCAAACAATATTGATATGATATTATTTCAGACATGAATGATTAATTGCGTAATTATTTAAGGATATAATTGTATTGAAATTTTATGTATGGCCATTATGGTTAATATTTTTATATATTATAATCATGCGGTTACGGATTAAAAGGTAATTTTAAATAACGAAACATCCTAATTGTTTAACCGTTACTTATAAAATCTTTATACATATATATATATATATCTATATTGTGAAAATTAAAACACTCTTTGTTAACATATCCATTATCATTTTTGGATTTTATATTCTCTAAGGAAAAATGTCTCCATGCAAAAGAATATCTGAAATTACCTTATCATCTGAAAGATGCAGCATATGCATTCAAATCATTAAGAAAATTGTTGAAGAAAATGATTTGAGTGAATATAAAGCAACAATGGTCTGGGCAGACGAACATGTAAGTTCTTCAATCACTAAATTCATACATTACAATTTTTGATTATATAAACGTTACATTTATTTCAGATAATTTCAAATCCTTCCTGATTTTGTATTTTCTATTTCTTCTAGGGTGGTAGAATTGTTGCTACAATTTCTAAGAATATAATATCTATTAATCACAATAAATGTTCGGAGGGAAATTGGTATTTCGTTCGCAAATTTTGCATCAATGAAGTTACATCGTCATCTAATGCAAAATTCAATAATATCAGATATATATAACTGAGGATATTCGGTTTCATATGTATTCTTTTACAAAATTCACGGAATTAATGCCAATGTTGTTGTCTAGATCATCCAAAATTGGTACGTGTTCATATTTCTTATTGTTCATATGTTAGACGTTTATATGTAATTGACAGACGTATTACTTGAATAAAATACCATTTGTATAGTTGACTTGATTGGATGCATAATAAAAGTTCGCAAATTGCTTGAACATGGATGGATGAAATATGTGAGAGAGGGGATTGCTACCAATAAGTGTATCAAATTTACGATTCAGAATTTTGAGTACGTAACCATATATACTAATTTTCTCATTATATCGTAATTATTTTGATTGGATTGTTATACATATATTTCCATATTTTTATAGGTGTTTTGATATCAAATGTGTCGCTTTTGGTAACAATGATGTCAAGTTTGAAGAGCTCTGGCTAACAAACCTAGAGACAAAGTAATCATATGTGTGTTAAGATTCTGGACCATATGGAGGTAATCTGAATTTAATTTTTTATAGTGTTTACTAGGAATGTATTATGCATAAGGGCTAAATTAAATTTTTTATATTGCAGATGACATACGTATTTTTCCCAATGACAACAACTCGGAGATTAAATTTGATCTCCCTATCCGGAAGTTGAGAATTCACGTATCATGTAAGTAGAAAAAAATATGCACTTTTTCAATTTTTCCGTTTACGAGAAACATTTCGTTATATATTGTTTAATAATAAATATTTTATTAAAATTATTTCAGGTTGGACTACACAGAAGATTTTAATAATGTTGAAGATGAGTACCGTAGGTGGGTCATGCTGTTCTATGAGAATAGTCGATTGTTATAAACTGTTTTTTTTTATGTCATATTTATTTCTATTGGTCGGTGAACTTAAACTTATGAAACTATGTCGAATGCTACTGTTATTTTTAAAATGATCTTAAACTAACTGACACACATAAGAATAAACTTTTATTTGTTATAAAATGACTGGTCTAATAAGTAATTTTTATTTGTAATATATTACAAAATATTATTACATAACTGAACATTTACTTATAATACATTGATATACTTTACAGTTATAGAAAGCTATTTAAATAATATTATGTACAGATATTTAAAATTCGAATTCATACATTTGTGCTGAATATATATGGATATAAATCAAAAGTATATATAATCTATTTACTTATTCAAATTTTAAAATAAATTCTATTACTTTAAATAATAAGCAATCCATATATTTGAAAACATCTTATTTGGGAAGTTGTGATATTTTGGTCAAATAGTAGTTAATATTTTTATTACAAAATACTTTTGGAAAATATTAAAGACACAGAACAACATGAGTGGTAACCCTCTATTTACTATATAAATAAACAGCATAAGAGAATTTTCATCAAGTTACCGATAATACAACTGATATTCTGATCTGATTTCTATCAGATGTATTAAAAATATCGTTAAAACGAAGAACAAAATTTATTGTTCAGTTCTTAGTATTTTTTATGCATCTGCGACGAATCCGTTTAGTATAAGTAGTTTTTCTCAGTTTTATTTGTGATCGATCACTTCACATAGTAAGTACACAGCATTACGATAGAATTAGACTATCTATAACCAAAAAAAAATCGATTTATCTATTATAATTCTTTAATAAAATTTGTTTATATAAGGTTTGAAAATCAAAATGTGTAACAAATATAAATCTACTAAGTGAAAGTCGACCTGTTTATCTATATCGTTTTTCCAAATTTAGCGCCAATTTCTATTTTTGTTTTCATTTGCATTTATATGTGAACATTTAAGTTAGTGTGAAATATTTAAAATTATGTTAAAAGGTTTTACCTCTTCAAAGAAGAGGAAAAATAAAAGTTATGGAAAATCTATAAAGCTTTAAAAGTTTAACGAACTACTAGGATACTGGCCCGCACGCATGTGCGGGCTTGAATGTTTTGAAATTTTTTAATTTTATTGGGTGTATTGTTAAGTTTATTGGATCGAATTTTATAATATTGATAATTGACAGTGTTTGTATACAATGTTACTAATTTTGGGCCGAATGGTATGTTATTAGTATAAGAATTGGATTGTGTCTTACAATTGGCTCATATTTGGAGTTATAAATTCTAAGTAATTATAATTAGGTATGTATAATGAAGAAAGTGTAGATGCAGAATACATGTAATTGTGAATATATACATTAATTTTATGTTCGTAAGTTATTCATCGAAATATGACATATATGAACATATTTTATAGATTATATGCGAATATGTATTCATTTATTTCGAAATGTATCTTCATTTGGAAATTGTGATAAATCAGTCAAATGTTATTTAATATGTTTTAATTATAAACGACTTTTGGGGAATATGAAACACAGGAAAGAAAAATGAGGAGTCACTCTCTAAGAATTCTATAAATACACACCATAAGATGATTTTGATCAACTAACCAAGCAAACAATTACTCACTCAAACACAACTCATACTACAATTATTATTCTGATGTGATCCTCTCACAAACGTACAAAAGATATGTTTACATGAAAGAAAAATACACGTTTTCCTACATAATATTTCTTGTGCATCTGTGAAGAATCACATCAGAATAAGTAGTTTTATTCATTGTGTTTCCACAAAGTTATTGTAATTATATTACTTGTGAATGCTCACTTTCGACAGGAATTATACTGTTAGTATTTTATACCAAATTCTGGATAGAGTACTGACAGTGTACTTCTTGTAGAGTGAGATACAAGTAATTTTGCTCAGTAGGTAAACAGAAATGTATACCGTTTTCCATAAGTTTTTGCTATTGTAGATTTTTTATTATTCACTTGAATTTTTAGAAAAAATCTAATTATGTAGAAAATTGTTATTTACCTCAAATGAGATCCAATATTGTGTAAGAAATACAAACCTTTTAATTGGGATTTTTTAATTTGAACTATAATGATTTTCCAAATTTGTAGGATTGTTAGATTTATTATTTCTCATCGCAGCAATTATCTAAAATAACAAAAAATCGCATTTTCTATATTACGTATTTCAGTTAAATTTGAAATTTAAAAAGTTGTTCAATTTTATCAGAGATTTCCAAAATTTGAGATATAATTTATCATATTAACAACTAAGTTACGATTAATCCGCATCAACAATACTTTAAACTTACAATGATAACAGTTTATTCACTAAATTATAAATTATAAGTTACCGTATATTTAATGAAATGTTAATTGGTTGACTCTTGTATTAATTATATAATATGTAACGGTTGAAAATGTAGTATTTAGTAGATGATTTGCCTTAGTATTTCATATATTCAACATAAAAAGTACTGTGTTCGACCAAAAAAAAAAACATAAAAAGTACTGTAAAAAATGAAGACAATTAAAAACAACAAAAAGAAAAGAACTTATTGAAATAAAGATTCAGCATGCAGTTTTAAAATTAATCTTAAGAAAGATATATAAATCTAATTGACCGGGAATAAGCCTCTTTCATAGCAAGCTTCTCTGAAAGTGTCGTATACAACACCATTAATTGTTCGGATATCTTCATAACTGCAAGAACCTCTAATGATATTTAACAGACAACCCAAATAAAAAATTCCTCCATCATAATTGAATACTGTTGAAGAATAGTTGGATTTCCTGAACCCTTCACCCGTGGCCTCCACTCATGCAATGTGGCATTCCAGAAAAATTGATGAGATAATTCAGTGTAGCAGGAATCTGGCAGTTGTGTATATCTTGTTACACTCCATCCAAGCGATAAATTTTGTATTTTTCATTAGTTTGTCGACCTTGTTTTGCTTGGAAGAATTTGTTCTTGGTAGATGAAATTGAATAATTTCTGAAAACAATCATAAAGAACTTGTTAAAACAGTTAAAAGGAAACAAATAATGTATGATAATAAGTTATA